TGGAAGGAGGAGGGTGGAGGCGGGAGGCTGATCCTGTGCAGGGCTCGGGAAGGGGTGCAGCCCGGCTGGGTGGCCCCGAGGGGGACCTTTTAGGCCAGTCTTGAAGGGAGATGGAGTTTCACAGGCAAAGCTGGGAGGAGTGGGGAGAGAGTGCAGGGGTCTGAGAATCTCAGGTTACACATGGGACTCAGTGGACAGCGTGGCTGGAGAGTGGGCTGTGTGGTGGCTGCGTTCATGTACTGTGAGCGGACAGCGTGGCTGGAGAGTGGGCTGTGTGGTGGCTGCGTGCATGTACTGTGAGCGGACAGCGTGGCTGGAGAGTGGGCTGTGTGGTGGCTGCGTGCATGTACTGTGAGCGGACAGCGTGGCTGGAGAGTGGGCTGTGTGGTGGCTGCGTGCATGTACTGTGAGCGGACAGTGTGGCTGGAGAGTGGGCTGTGACGGTGGCCGTGCACCAGGTGCCAAGATGCCATCACCTGTCAGTGCTGACTCAGGGAGACAGAGCTGGCCATATGGTGTGGGGCAAGAGCACAGCAGGAAACCAGGTGGGAGATGGGGGTGGTGAGGAGGGAAGTGGTGGTGGGAGGGCGGTCAGATCAGGGCTGGCCTTGGAGCCTGTGATTTGGGGACTGACTGCTGGGTTTGGCAAGGGGCTGGCTGCTTTGTCTTTGCTCCACAGATGCCCTTGTGACTTCAACGGATGCAGGCCCCTCCTTTGTGCCAGACACCTGTGGATGCCCGGGAGGCAGAGGTCCAGCTTTCATGGGAGGCGGGCCAGTAGGTGACGGGCAAGAGGACAGAGGTGCAGAGTGACCATTTCTATGAGGGACATGAGCTGGGGACAGATGCAGAGAGTGACTGTCCCTATGCGGGAGTGAGCCAAGGACAGGTCTGAGGGGCACCTAAGCTGAGAGCCGGATAAGCTCAGCGGAGGACAGGGCATCAGGAGGCAGTGCCTGGAGTGGTCAGCTAGAGCTTGGGGTCTAGGGGTTGGTGGGCTTAGCAGGGCTGGGGAAAGCTGTTGGGAGGGGCTCCCTCTGTGCTGAGGCAGGGGAGGGTGCCTTCCGACCTCTGAAGGATGGGGCCAGTAACAGAAGGGGTTTCAGAAGCCAAGCACAGGCAGCTGCAGTGGGGCTGGGGCTTGGAGCAGGGTTCACCAGGTAGAAGGAGGCAGGGGCAGGTTTGTGAGGAGCGGGGCCCTTGAGATTTGGAAGCGGCTATTTAAAGAGCCCCAAAGGGTGAAGTCCTGAGTCCTCCGCGATGGCGGATGGTTTGGGAAGCCGTGGGTTTTGGCTAAATCAAGCATTGCTTTGAGAGTGAAGGGTGAGTAGGCAAGGCTGGTGCTCTCATCACTAGCTTGAGGGGCAGAGGGGAGAGGACACCTGCGCAGGTGAGGGGGGGAGACACTGAGCCAGGGGGACACCTGAGCAGGTGAGGGGAGACAGGTGGGCGGGGGGGACGCCTACACAGGTGAGGTGAGACAGGTGGGCTGGGGGGGACGCCTACACAGGTGAGGGGAGACAGGTGGGCTGGGGGACGCCTACACAGGTGAGGGGAGACAGGTGGGCTGGGGGGGACGCCTACACAGGTGAGGGGAGACAGGTGGGCTGGGGGACGCCTGTGCAGGTGAGGGGAGACAGGTGGGCTGGGGGATGCCTGTGCAGGTGAGGGAGACAGGTGGGCTGGGGGGATGCCTGTGCAGGTGAGGGAGACAGGTGGGCTGGGGGATGCCTGTGCAGGTGAGGGAGACAGGTGGGCTGGGGGGATGCCTGTGCAGGTGAGGGAGACAGGTGGGCTGGGGGATGCCTGTGCAGGTGAGGGGAGACAGGCGGGCTGGGGGATGCCTGTGCAGGTGAGGGGAGACAGGCGGGCTGGGGGATGCCTGTGCAGGTGAGGGGAGACAGGCGGGCTGGGGGATGCCTGTGCAGGTGAGGGGAGACAGGCGGGCTGGGGGATGCCTGTGCAGGTGAGGGGAGACAGGTGGGCTGGGGGATGCCTGTGCAGGTGAGGGGAGACAGGCGGGCTGGGGGGGACACCTACACGGGTGAGGGGAGACAGGTGGGCTGGGGGGACACCTACACAGGTGAGGGGAGACAGGTGGGCTGGGGGGAAACACTTGAGCAGGTGAGGGGAGACAGGTGGGCTGGGGGATGCCTGTGCAGGTGAGGGGGACAGGTGGGCTGGGGGATGCCTGTGCAGGTGAGGGGAGACAGGTGGGCTGGGGGATGCCTGTGCAGGTGAGGGGAGACAGGTGGGCTGGGGGATGCCTGTGCAGGTGTGGGAAAAAGTCACAGATGTGTTTGTGAGGTGTGGTCAGTCATGGCACATCAAAGCCCTGGAGGGACACCGGGGCTGTGGGTCTGCAGGCCTGGGGCTCAGAAGAGTTGTGGCAGAACTAGAGATTTAGCGAACAGAATACCATGAGCCCAGCCCGGAGTGTGGAGGGAGAACTTCAAGGGGAGATGGGTAGACTCAGCCTTGAATCTGGCTCAGCAGAGGACCAGCTGGGGGGAAGAGGGGGTTCTGAGCAGGGCCGGCAGCTTTCTGGAGAGAGGTGGGAGAGGGCCTAGGCCACACCCAGAGAGTGGCTGCAAGGGAGGTGTAGGTGGAGGCCCAGGCAGGAGTCTGGCAGGCTGAGACTGGGGTGATGACTTGGGGGAGTGGGGGTGACTGCTGGCATCTGCCAGGCGTGCACGCCAGAGGTGAGTCCTGGGTGCAGTGCGCACAGGCTCTGGCTGCATGCACATGACCCAGGACAGGTGAGGGCAGCAGTGCCCAGTCCTGCAGGGTGGGGCAGTCGGGGGGGTTGTGAAAGCCAGCATGAGGTGCAGGGCCCTTCATGAGGCTCACGTTGCTGTCCTAAAGCTTCCAGTCCATGGCGGGCCCTCTGGGGTGACTTCAGGTCTGGGTCCTGGTCACAGGGTCCTTGCTGCCTCTGAGTGAACACTCAGAAGGGGCTGCCGGGCCCAGGACCTCCCGTTGCTGTGGCACCGACATGGACACTAAGGCATGTGTAGGTGCCCGGTGGGTGTGTGGGTGCACGATGGGTGGGCGCAGGGTGGGTGTGTGGGGTGCTGCTGGTCCCTGCCTTCCAGCCTCTCCTCTGCGGCTTCCATTCCCGGGCCTCGCTGGTTGGGCCTGGGAGGGTGAAGACATGGGAGTTGTTTTTCTCCTTTGAGCCACACCAGACGGTATCCTCAATGTTTCTAGGGGCCTTGAAACATTTACTTTGAAATGTCCACACAGGGACAGCCCCCACCCAGGTTTCTTTCTTAGAACATCTCATTCGCTCTGCCTCATGGGGGGCACAGCCTCCAGAACCCTCCAGGTAGATTCCTGCAGAGCAGTGCAAATGCCAAGCAGGCTGAGGGTCTGGCCTCCCGTCCCTGCTGTCGCCTGGCCTTCAACAAAAGGGGTGTCTGTGAGGAAGAGGCTGCTGGCCTTCCCTGGAGGGGCCCTGGAAGGGGGTGGGAGCCCTGTGTGTTCAGTGGCCTTGGCCGCAGGCCCCATCTGGCCAGACCCTAGTGGGCAGGTGGACACGTCGGATGGGCAGGGTGAGTGGACAAAGACATCAGAGACCGAAGCGTTTGTAGACCCAGGCCCACGAGCCTCAGGCAGGAGACAGAGCCCTGCAGCAGCTGGGAAGCGCCTCAGGCTTTTCAGACAAGAGGCCACTGCCACTGTGACCTGCGCTCACCAGGGCTGTTGGGCAAGTTGAAAAAAGGGCAGCAAATTCCAGTAGAGTTGGAAAAGCCCTGTGAACAGTGGTCTGCGTCCATAATCCTCATGCTTTGAGAGGCTGAGGCTGGAGGTCATTGATTTGAGACCATCGTGGACAACACAGCAAGACCTTATCTCTACATAAAAAATTTAAAGAATTGGACAGGTGTGGCAGCTCAAGCCTGTGGTCCCAGCTCCTCGGGAGGTGGAGGCAGGAAGATGGTTTCAGCCAGAGTTTGAGGCTTCAGTGACTTACGGTGACTGTGCCACCATACTCCAGCCGAGGACACAGAATAAGACCTTATCTCTAAAAAAAAATAGGATTGCCCAGTGTGGGCAACATATGGAGACCTCATTTCTACAAAAAAATACAAAAATTAGCTGGGCATGGAGGCGTACACCTGTAGTCCCAGCTGCTCAGGAGGCTGAGGTGGGAGGATCACTTGAGCCCACGAGGTCAAGGCTGCATGAACCGTGAGTGCACCATCGCACTCCAGCCTGGGCCAGTGAGCTCACCTGCAAAAATAAAGTTCCGTTGGGAACGGAGGGAGGTCTGTTCTCCGGTGAAAGAGCAGGCTGGAGGGGACCCAGGGCCACCCAGCTGCTAACCGCAAGGGGGCCGACCTTGTTCAGCCAAGCTGGGCCAAGCAATCCCCCCAGTCTGGCGGGGCATACAGCCCAGCAGGGCAGAGAAGCCAGGGTGGGGCGCCCTGGCCCTTGCACTGGCTCGGCCACCACGTGGCTCAACCACACAGCTGTGCCCAGCCCTGCTCTGAGGGGAGGGGCACCCCCCAGCGAGCATCAGGACCCCCTCGTGTGCAGGGAATGTTTTTGGCGTTGGTTTCCCTGTCCTGTCCACCTCCTACTTGTCTGTTCTCCCCACAGCCTTGGCGACCACAGGGCTTCCTCCTTCCCAGGGCACTCCCACCCCGGCCAACCAAGGTGGTCTGTGACTGGATGGGGAACACTGGACCCCCCAGGGCCATGCAGAGTTGCAGGGATGGCCAACCAGGACACTGCCTTTCCCTTGGCTGTCTGGTGGCCAAGTAGGCAGAGGAAAGGGTCAGCAGTGTGGAGCCTGTTCTCCGTAGGGGGGCAAGGGCAGGGGCGGGGTGGGCCGAGCCGCTGGGCCTGCAGTGGCTCCGTGTGTGATGCGACCTCCGACCCGAGGCTCGGTCTAGCCCTTCCACTACCGGCGGTGTGGCTCCGGCAGGCGCCTGTGTGCACCCCAGCGATGGCGTGTGCCTGCTGGCTCAGAGAACGAGGCTGGCCCACCCCCGTGCTCATCAAACTCGACTTGTTTATTAAGTGCCAAGGGTCCAGGCGGGCGCTGCCCCCTGCGGCCCCCTCCGCCGAGGCCAGTGCTTGGTGGGGTTCCCAGGAGTGAGGGTCCCCTGCGGCCTCCCCGGGGCGTGCAGAGCGCCTGCGGCTGTAGTGTGGGCGCTCACTTCACGTGCTCGGCAGCGTGCGAGGAGCAGTAATACTTCTTGTGGGCGATGAAGGTGGACAGGCTGCTGAACTTGATGTTGCAAAGGCGGCAGTACCGGTGGTTGCCGTTGGGCAGGGGCGCCGGCGCGCCCTTGCTGGGAGTCTGCACGCCCTTGTCCGAGTAGGAGGGGGGCGCCGGCGGGGGCGGCACGGCCTCGGGCGCGGCGGCCGGGGACGGGGGCGGGCCGGACGGCGGCTCCTGGGGCTCCGGGCCGAGGCCGTCCCGGGAGCCGCGGGGCCCGGGCTGCGGGGAGGCGGCGGGAACGGGCGCGGGAGAGGGGCCGCGGTCGGCCGGCGTCCGGGCCTCGACCCCCGGGCCGGCCAGGGGCGCGCCGAGCAGCAGGCCGTGCGCCAGGCGGAAATGCTCCAGCAGGTCCCCGCGCACCGGGCCGTTCGGGGGGCAGTAGGGGCAGGCGGCGGCGGGCAGTCCGAGCGCGCCGGGCGGCGGCGCGGCGGGGCACGAGTACTTCTTGTGCGCCAGGTAGGCCTCGAGGCTGTGGAAGCTCACGCGGCAGGCCGTGCACTCGTGGTAGTCGGCCAGCGCGGGCGCCGGGGCTCCGGGGGGCTGCCGCCGCGGCTTCTTGCTCAGGTCGATGGGGCCGTCGGCCGCGGGGCCAGGCGAACGCGTGGGGGCGGGGCCGGAGCCACTTCCGCTTCCGGGGCGCGGCGACTCGGGCGCGGGGGCGTGGCCGGGCGGCGGGCGGGGCGGGGCGCCGGCCGCCGCGTGCAGCTCGTAGAGTTTGCGACGCCTGCGCGTGCGCACGGGCGCGGCAGGAGGGGGCGCGGCGGGCCCCGGGGGCGCGGCGGGGCGGCGCGGCGGCGGGTCGTGGCGCGAGGCGCAGTAGTAGCGCTTGTGCACGGTGTAGGTCTCGTGGCGGCTGAAGCGGATGTTGCAGGCCTCGCACAGCGTGCGGCTGGGGTCGTCCTCCGCGTCGTCCACGGAGCTGCCCGGGCTCTGGCTGCCCTCGCTGCCCCGGCCGCCAGCGCCGTCCTCGGGCGTGGTCGCGCCCCCGGCTCCGTCTTCGCGCGTTCCCGGGCCCGGCGACGAGCGGGGCGCGTCAGGCTCGGCGGGCGGCCCGGGGGGCGCGCGGGCCGGCCCAGGGGGCGCCTTGGGCCTGCGCGCAGCGGGCGCGTCCTCGGGCGCGCGGCGGCCGGAGCAGTAGAGGCGCTTGTGCACGTAGTAGTTGTTGACGTTGCTGAAGGTGATCTCGCACTCGAAGCACGTGGCGCCCTTGGGGGCCCCCGCGAAGAGCCCGGCCTGCGCGCCCGCGCCCTGCTGCAGCCGGCTGTGCACCAGCTCCGACATCTTGGCCAGGATCTCCGAGGCTGGGGGCGCCGTGGGGGCCGGGGGTGCCGAGTCAGACCCGAACACATACGGCGGCAGGAACAGGGCCCCCGCCAGGCCCAGCTCACCAGGCACCGGGCTGGAGCCCGGCGTGGGGTTGGACAGTTCAGCCTTCGCCTTGGCCGGGACGGGGCTGCGTGGTGATGGCGTCCGCGACGGGGCGTGGGGCCCAGACTCTCCGGGACCCGGGGCGCGGGTCGCCTCCTGCTCCTCCCCCGCCTCCACCTTGATGCTCCTGGGGGCCGCTGGGGGCTCGCTGCTGCCTCCATTATGGGGGGCTACCCTGGCCTCTCCGTTGGTGGCCTCGGCCAGGGCCTTCCTGTCCAGTCCTGGTGATGGGGTGGGCGCCAGGCCCAGGTCCGTGGAGGCCAGTGGGCCGTGCAGGGCCGAGTGCTGTTGGAGGCTGCCCAGACTGTCTGTAGAGAGACCGCAGAGGGGCACCTCAGGCCTGGGGCAGGACCTGGCGGGTCAGAGCTGGAGGGCGAGCTCCGGGAGGGGAGGAGTGGGCGGAAGTGGTTTAGAGCCAAGGCCGAAAGGGACCCCTCCCCCCACCTGTCTTGGTCGACAGGCCTGCTCCCTTTCCACACCTCAGGGGGGGTCCAAGGGACAGGGCTGCTCACCTGGGGGCAGCTTCGTTGCCGCCTGTCCTGACCCTGGAGAGTAGATCTCACCCTTGGAGCCCGGTTGACAGACCATGTGGTTAGTGACCAGGTGGCTGTAGAGGATGTCCCTTGTGGTGGAGATGAAGCCACAGCTGTGGCAAACCCCTGTGGGCCATGGCAAGGTAGTCAGGGCCCAGGGCGGAGGGTGGGCCCCACACCCCCTTTCCAGCGACCCCCACCCTGCCATGCCTACCGCTCAGCGTGTCTGTGTGCACCTTGAGGTGGCGCTCGCAGTTGGCCTTTGTGGTGAAGGCCGACAGGCAGATCAGGCACACGAAGGGCCGCTCTCCTGGAAGGGCGTGGAAGGGTGGTGCCCGGGCCAGCTTGGCCTTGGAGTCCAGGGATGGGGAAGGTGGATCTGCCTAGGGCCATGATCTGTGCCGGGACCCTGTGCTGAGGGCCCTTTAAACCCCTCAGCCACAACCCTTTTTCTCTCAGGACTGCAGTGGGTCAGGCCCTCAGCTGACTACCCTGATAGCCACAGGTGGGCGGCCTGTTCTGGGCGCCTGTAGGGGTCTGGGCGTGCGGAGACTGCACAGGCGTGTCATGACACCGTGTTCGCCACGTGTGCCTGCATGTGGGTGTCCCCTGTCGCCTGTGGGACTGGGTGGGGAAGCAGCTGGCATCCCGAGGACCTGCATTTGGGGTGGGGTCTCACCGCTGTGGCTGCGCATGTGGATCTCCAGGGAGCTGGCGCTGGGGCAGCTCTTGTGGCACTGGGGAAAGGGGCAGACGCGCTCGTTGGGGTAGGCCTCCTTGGGCTTCTCCTCCGAAGTGGCGGTGGCCGGGGAGCCGGCGCCCTGGCGGCTGGCGCAGTAGTAGAGCCAGTGTGCCTGCAGGTTGCGCTCGCTACGGTACCAGATGCCACAGTCCTTGCAGGGGAAGACATCTTCTGTGGGGCGGGAGGTAGGTGGGCATGGGCTGAGGGCCATCCTGCCAGCCAGGGCAAGGGCCTGGCCCTGACAGACCGCACCGTCCTCCCCACCCCAGGAACTGAGGCTTTGACCCCTCCCTGTAACTGTAAGCCTCCTGTGTTGTCCTGTGACAGCCCCAGTCTGGGACCTATGGGAATTTGGGTCTGAGTGGACCCCTGTGGGTACCCTTCCAGTGGTGAGCCCCATAAGGAGACACTTTGGCCTCGCGGGTGCAGAAGGAAGGAGTGTGGACACCACCGGGCGAGGCTAGCATCCCTAACATACTGGGGTGACCGTGTGGATCTGGGGGGCCATGGAAGAGGAGCTGTGCGTGTACAGGTGTGCGTGCCGGGGCGTGGGAGTGTGGGGCTGCAAAGGAAACCCAAACGCACAGTCCCCGAGCACCATGGCTGCTGACTCGTTCTGGGGATCTGGGGCATGAGCCTAGGAGCGCAGAGGTCAGGAAGCCCCATGCGCCCTGACACCGGGGTGGCTCCATGTCAGTTTCGGCCTGGCTGGTCAGATTTGCTGAATCCACCACACTGACCCTGAGTGGGCTGCTGGGAACTGGTCAGAGTTCTGGGGGCTGGGGCTGCTCAGGGCGGTTCTGCCAATGGGAGGATTTCTCTAGCGTGTTTTCAGTTTGTCTTGAGAGCAGTTTAGGGAATGTTTCTCTGCCCCAGAGCCCTGCCCTGTCTGCCCGAAACCTCTTGGCTGAAGACAGGGAAGGGAGGGCCTGTTCAGATTGGCCTTGGCCTCCCTGTGGAACCCGGGGGCCCTGGGATTCCTTATCTGGCTTTTAAGCCCGTTCCATTTGGAGACCGACGTGATACCAGGCTTCTGCCTCTGCAGGCTAGTGCTCATTTCTCACGGCTTCGCCGATGTTTATCCCAAGGCCACAGTTATCACTCAGGGCAGCCCCCTCCCCTCTGTGGCCTGCCTGCCACCTCTCGCCTCTTGGTAGGAATTTCAGTGCCTGTCTGGGAGGTGGCTCTTTCTCTGGCACCTGGCTTTTTGGGACTTTCCTGGCTCCCATCTCCTCCCTCCTGTGCTGCTGATTTCCAAGTTCCCTTTTCCTGAAGGCTGCAGGCAGCTCTGTCCTCTCTCAGCTGAGGCCTTGAGCTGGGTCCCAGATCTGGGAGGCCACCAGGTGGGTTTGTTTCTGTGTCTCCAAGGTCATTGTGGGGGACTGTGCTGCTGGCAGAGATGTGGGGACAGGGGCCGTGGCTGTGCAGTTTCGTGAGGAAGGCTGCCTGCCTGCTGCCAGCCACTGGCCGAGTCCGGTGGCCTGCGATGGGGCCTCCAGGCAGGTGTGCCGCCTCCTGCTTAACCTGTGAGACAGGTCCAGGGTGCTGTGCCGGAGATGAGGCACTGATATGGAAACTCAGACCTGAGAGGGGGAAACCGAGGCAGTGGTGCTGAGCCTGGGGCACCTGCAGCTGCCCATCAGAGATGGGGAGGTGGTCTCTGCAGGCTGTGTGGCATGGACCCTGCTGGAGGATGGGACCCTCGCCAGCCCACTGTCCCCACTGTCTCACTGTTGTTTGGGTCTCCCAGGCACCTGGAGACACCATGGGGCACCCCCTTCCCATCCTGGCAGAGTGGCCACTGTGGCCTCCCATCCCCTCTGCGCCCTCTCCTTCCAGGGAAGAGACAAAGGCAGATGGGGATCCTGTTTGCTCCTGGCTGCTTTCAGTTCCCTGTGGGCTGTGTTCTCGTCTCCCCTCCTGGCTCCCCGTGGCCGCCGTTCTCAGCTCCCTTCCTGGCTCCGTGGGGCAGTGGCTTGCCCTGCCTTGCCCATCCCTGAACCTGGGCTTGGGTGTGGACCCGGCTCTCGGGCCCCTTCTCTTCAGTGTCACCAGCCATTCCCACCAGCACATAACTTGGGCCATTATGTCCCGGGTACCAGGCACACAAGCCCGGCCCCCTCTGGCCAGCTGGCCCCTGCGCAGGCCTCTGACCCTCACTGGAGCAGTCTCGGTCAGGGCCAGCAGTCGCTTCTCTGCTGTTGGTATTGCCACGGCCTGGATGTGACAGACCATCTGCCACCCTCCACGGTCCTGCTAACCTGTCTCAGCTCACTTGCTATCCCATGGGAGACGTCCCCTCTCCCGACTCGGGTCCGTAGGCTCCATGGTTCCCTAAGCCCTGTCCCGTGTCTCTCGACAGACTCTGGCTTCTCTCTTGCATCTAGTAGGTGTCTCAAGGTTAGGACACTCAGAGCTGGGGGTCCGCTCCCCAGACTCCCTTACAGAACGACGTCCCCCAGTGGCCACACCAAAGCCCCTGGCTGCACCCATGGCCCTGCTTGGCAGGCACCTCTGGTTCTAATCACTGGCTGCTTCCGCCTCCTTCAAGCCATCTTCACATTGGACTTGCTCATCAAGGTCGCTTTTCTTCCAGTTATGTGACTCTGTGGTCACCAAAGCTAAACTTGGGTCTCACCCTCCCCATCCAGAACCTGAGTCTCACCCTCCCCATCCAGCACCCTCTGGCACAGTCCCTGTTCCCCTGGGAAGACCCAGCCGCTCTTCTGAGGCCACACTTGCCGTGAGTCCCCTGTGTGCCTTGTGGCTGTACACTGTGGCCACATGCTGGCCTTGGCCACACAGGTGCACGGGGTGCCCGATCACTCTTGGCAAATTTTTAAAATTTTAGCAGAGATGGGGATCTTGCTGTATTGCCCAGTTTGGTCTTGAACTCCTGGGCTCCAGCGATCCTGTCTTGGCCTCACACAGTGCTGCGGTCACAGGTGCGGCCCCTGCACCCAGCCCAGGATGAGTGACTCCTGATTTCCACAGCCATCCTCAGAGGTTCCAGGAGAGCCACTGCAGGAACGACGTCTGTCCACTTCAGGTGTGCCCAGCGGGGTGGCTCTGTCCCCAGGGACATGTGGCCATGTGTAGAGATATTCTGGTGGCGTGTGCCTGAAATCCCAGCTACTCGGGAGGCTGAGGCAAGAGGACTGCTTGAGACTAGAACTCCATGACCTTCTGGGTAACACTGAGACCTTGTCCCAAAACCAAAAAAAACCCAACCAACAATGTCTTGGTTGTCAAAACTGGGAGGTGGAGGTGGTGGCACCGTCTAGTGGGCCGGGGTGAGGGCTGCTGCTCACTGCCTGTGGTGCCCAGGCCCCAAACGCCAGGGGGGCTGAGGGGAGGGTCCTGCTCTGCCCCAGTTAGGGCTGCACAGGGAAAGTGCAGGCTTCTGGTGTGGTGTTCGAGGCAGTCGGGTCTGTGCCTAAGCCTGCTTGCCTGCTGTCAGGGCCTTTCCCTGTCATGGCCTCGGGGGCCTAGGGACCCTCTTGGCCTTGTGTGTTCCGCACTTGGGACCACCCATATCACCTCCTTCCCCACCTTCCCTCTTATTTCCCACCCTCAGCTCCCCTGCTTCCTGCCCTGCCTGCCCCTCCTTGGTACAGCAGCCGCCCAGGCCTGGGGAGCCCAGCACTCACTGTTGATTACTGCAGTGGCAAGGATGGAGGCCATCCCGGCCTGCTGCGGCAGGAGCTGGAGGTCGTGAGCAGGGACCGGGCATGTGGGCTCTGCCGACTCCTTCTTCACGGGGTGGCCAGGGGTGCTGCAGGGCTCGGCTGTGAGGAGCACGCTCAGGAGTCCCCCGGCGGGCACTGGCTTGGTGACCCTGCACCAGAGCGCATCATCTGGAGGGAGATGAGTGCCCATGACCCAGGACCTTGTGTGCCCCACTGCCCTGTCCCATCCTAAGCAAGGGGTGGAGGATGGGGTCAGGAGAGCTGCCATCCCAGGTTCACAGCTGTGGCTGGCTGGCTGCATTCTGCCTCGGGGGTGAGGCGGGTGGTCCCCTCCGGATGCTCAGCCTCCCAGCCTCTCTGCCCTATACCCGTCCTAGTGGGAGGGCCCTGGGGACGTCTCCCAGGAAAGGGATGACGTGGAGGGCAGGTGTTAGAGCAACTGTGGAAGACCCTGGGCAGCCATTCAGGAAAGGTGGCCAAAGGTTGGGGCCTTTGAGGGGCCCTAGAATGGACCCTGCTCTTCCAGGTATCGTCCAAGGGTGGCTGTTCCTGCATCCGCCTGCAGGGGGCAGCCTTGGCCCACAATGCCCAGGCTGCCCGGGCCGGCTTGTCCATCTTGGGCTCCTGGGCTGTGACCCGTGGTGCTGGCTTCAGTCCCGAGCCAGCCCCGCCCACACGCGCCACAGCCTGTCCCCACCCTGCACCAACACCGGGCCCCCACGTTTTGGGGCCCTCAGGGACCCCTTTGGTGGGGAGGAGGTGCTGGGGTCCCCTCTGCCTTACAGATGGGGGAATGGGGGCACGTGGGGGAGGCACTGACTCAGGTCCCAGGAGCGGGTGGCAGGGCACGGGGGAGGCCACGCTGCACCTATCACTCCCTGGACACCCCATAGGGAGGGGGCTGCAGTGTGGCCGTTGACAGGGATGTCCCTGGGGAGGCCACGCTGCACCTATCACTCCCTGGACACCCCATAGGGAGGGGGCTGCAGTGTGGCTGTTGACAGGGATGTCCCTGAGACAGCTCTGCCTCCGCTGGGATTGCCGTTGCTTGGCAGGCACAATGGCAAGAGGCACGTAAGGGTCCATGAGACTGGTATCTGGCGCTGAGCGCACAGCTGTCCTGGTGACCACGCTGTGGCGGACGGCCTGCCTGGCTTCGGAAATCGCGGTGTGTGCCCCTGTACTCCCCTAGGACCTGAGCCTCCATGTCTGGAAGGAGGGGTCCCCACAGTCCTGATGCTGAGAGTGACACATGTGGCACTTCCATTCCCTCAGGGGTGACCTTCCCAGGGGGATGGAGGCGCTGATACAGAAGAGCAAGGGGTGGGCGGGGTCTCCCAAGAGCCAGGAAGTGCGCCTGCCCTGGCTGTATGGCTGCCCTGCAAGACGCCCATTTCCTGCCCCTCTTCCTCCCGGGCTGCTGCCACCTTCCAGCAGGTCCAGGAGGCTCCAGGGAGGCAGCTCTCAGGCCTCCAGCCCTGGGTGCCCCACTGGGCTCTTTCCTCAGGCTCACACCCATCTTCCAGATAGAGAAACAGAGGTCCCAGAAGGCAGGGCCTTGCCCCAGGTCCCACAGCTGGGTTTGAACACCATTCTGACTACTCTGGAGCCACACCAATGGCATGGGGCTCGGGTCCAGTGGTACCTGCCAGCCAGCTCGGCCTCGGGGTCCCTGCCGCTGCCCTTGCTGGGCTCCCAGAAGTACAGCCAAGCCAGGGAAGAGAGAGGGGGATGATGGTATCCCACAGAGGGGCAGAAGCCCCCATCCCCGCTGCAGTGGACACCCGTCCTGGCTTAGCCTGCCAGGCAGGATCCTCACACAGGGACTAACTGGTCCCAGTAGAGTGTCTGCCTCACACTGCAGTGCCCAGGGCAGTGGCTCCTTGTCCCCCACCCCTGCCCCTGCTCTAGCAGGCTGCTTTCCTTTCCAGGGCTCAGCCCTGGGAGAGCCAAGTGACCCCCACCTTCCGGAAGGCTTGGGACGGAGGCGCCGCATCATACTGACCCTTCCTGTGGATCTCTGCGTTGGCCTCCGCCTCGGTCAGGGCCTGGGGCAGCATCCTCAGCCAGCAAGACTCCTCCACCAGCAGCAGGGTCAGGGCTGGGCTCTGGGGGGGGGGGGGGGCAGGAACACATGGAGGACGGGTCAGTCCGCAGCCTGCCTGGGGTTTCCTGTGGGCACGTGACTCGGATTCTGCCTCCTGGCTTGGCTGCTCGGCCAGGTTGTGGACGGTCGCAGGCCCGACAGCTGGCAGAGCCGTGGCATGGGCCATCTGTACCATTGCTGGCTGGCGGGGCTAACACCATGCTGGGGCTGGAAGGCACGGCAGGGAGAGGTACCTTCCTGGGCTGGGTGCAGAGTTCTCATGGAGACCGAGGCCCAGAGAGATCGAGCACCATGCCCTGGGCCACACAGCCAGGGAGCAGCAGCGCCTGAGTGCACACCCGTATCTATCTGTGTCTGTGTTCTCCCCACTGCCCGCCCACCCTGGCCTGGGGCGTGCTGGGTATGAAACACTGGCCCCACACAGCTGGCCCTGGCACAGGATCCTCCCACACAGGCCCTGGATGCCTCCAGAATGACCTCTGTGGGCGGGGCCAAGATTAGCCCAGGCGAGACGGCACCTCCCTAGCAACCCCTGGGCCTCAGTATCCCCCCAACAGCATGGCTCCCCTCACTGCCACAGGGCGCAGCAGGGCCACCTATGTTCCCGCCAGCTCCCAGGGCCAGCACACAGTGGAAGTAGGGGAGCACCGGCCAGGCTCAGCGGCTCTGTCCCTATCCTGAGGCTGGTTGGCCCCTGCCTGGGGGGCCTGAGATGCCAACACTGGGTAGGGTCAGCCCTGGCCCACTCAGCCTCACCATCATCCCGGCAAGCAGGCAGTGCCCTCCTCTCATCTCATGGGTGAGGAAACTGAGGCCCGGTTGGGGAGGGACAGAACTCATGCCCGTGCCTTGGGCCATGCTGTCAGTGGTGACTCTGTCAGGGCTAAGTCTGGAAGGAACACTGGGCTCGGCCCTCTGGACGGCTGCCTCATTTCCTGTGTGCCTTGCATGCGGGCCGAATGGTGGAGGAAATGCGAGGGACCCCATTCAGTGCAGTCTGGGGCTGGGACAGGGCAGGGGTGGGGGTGGGCAGTTGGTGGCCTTGCTCTCTGCTACCCAGTGCTGGTCACAATCAAGGGTAGAAGGCAGTGGTGCAGGAAGGGGTGACCACCGCTGCCCCTCAGGCCTCGGCCCCTCCCGCAAGGCTGACTCAGCCTCAGCACCCTGGCCCTCAGCCCCGTGCTGCTCACTGCGCCAGTGGGTCCCCAAGCTCAGCCACCTGGGTGCCCAGAGTCGCCGCACACGCGTTTCCAGCGCTTCCTGTAAACACGCTCACTTTTGGTTCTGTATAAATAAATGCCTTTTAATCAGAAACTTCCTGCATCATGACCTTTGACGGAAAAGCCAGTGTCACCCATGAATGCTGCCGCTGCCACGGGACAGGTGTGTGCTGCCCTGTGGCTAGGACGGCCGTCGGCACAACTCTGCATGGTAGAAGGGGCCAGGCTGGCGACGGTGCAGGGTGTTCCCCTCGGGTCTGGAGGCCTCCCCACCAGGTGCCATCCCATGAGCTTTCCTGGGCTTTGCTGGCCGTGCATGGGACCCTGTGTGCCATAGAGCCGGGCAGCGGGGTTCCAGCCAGGCTCTGTCTCCCTGCTGTGACCTTGGGCAGGGCATGGCCAGACCCACATGCAGGGACCCCTCTGAGCCACCCTTGCCCCTCAGCCCATCCACAGGCATGCAGGAATCTACCAAGATTTGGCCTTTGGGCTGGGGACGCTGAGTGATCACTCGGGCAAGGTTAGGGCAGGCTGGCCAGCAGAGCGAGTGGCTCCCACGCCAGCTGCCTGCTGCCACAGGGCTCGGTCACAGAACGGGTGAGCAGAGCTAAGCTGGCCATGGGGCTGGCCCTGGCCCAGGGTGGGTGCAACCCTGCAGTCCCAGTGCGAAGCCATCCCCAGCAGGCACCCCAAACCCTGGCTCCACTTCTCATCTGCAGATGGGGCTCTGCCCTCTCCACATGTGGCTGTTGGGAGGATGGAGGGGAGGCCGTGCCCCTGCTCACTCTGGACCCACCCCCTGCCCACCACTAGCTTTTGGGGAAGCCTCAGGGGTCACTCCCATCTCCCTGGACTCAGTTTCCTCCCAGGACGTTGGGGGGCCGCGATCTGTGTGAAGCCTTTGTGCAGCACCTGCCTGGCGCGTCCTCAGCTCAGGATGTGTGTTCGCTCTTGCCCTGGCTGCTGCTTTTGGGTTGGCCTGGCAGGACAAGGGCAGGGGGTGCCATCCATGGGGAACCTCTGGGGCAGCACATGCTGAGTGTCCACTGGGGGGAAGCGGCTTCCCTGAAGAAGCTGCTTTGTGCAGGCTGGCACTGGGTGGGTGCCCCCCTTTTAAAGGACACCCCAGTGATTTCCAGTGCCGCAGGGCAGGGCTGAGGAGCCGCATGACCGCTGTGGGTCCCTGCGGACTCGGACAGGGGCTTCTGCTGGGGCAGGTCGGGGGGGCAAACCCCAGGGGCAATGGACAGGCACATTCCTGGCACAAAGGTGGATGACCAGAGGCTCCTGTGTCCCAGCTGTGCCTGAGCTGGATGGGCCCAAGCTGGACGGGCAGTGCTTGGCGAGGCTGCTGGGCCTGGCCCTCCCCACCCTGGCCTTCCTGAGCCTCTAATGAATATTAATGAGCAGAGGAGGGTGAAAAAAATTAATCTGCTTGATCCTGTGATGGGTGCTGCGGTAACGATATGAAATCTAATTATTCGTCCCAATATTTCTAAACCCTCAAACTGAGACTGACAGCCTCCCGGTCGGTTTAATGCTTATCACTCCCAGGAGCAGCGTGTTCGCAGCATGATAAAAACACACGCGCCACAGCTCTGCTGACGCTGCACAAGCCCCGGACTTTCTGTGGCAGTCCTGAGTGGCGGGATGGCACCATGTTCCCACCCGGCCCCACTGAGTGCACCCCGAGTTCGTGGGGCATGACGGGGTGCCTGCCTGGGTGTGCAGGTGGGGAGGGGCATGGGGAAGGAGGTCGAGGCTCCCATCTGGCACTCGGCTCCCCCCAGCTGGGAGGGAACAGGTGGGAGACCTTGGGGTTCAAGACTAGCTCAGGCCTCCCTGTCCCCAAATGCTCTCAGGGGGGCCTGCCACTCCCTCCACTTCTGTGACCCAGGCTGGGAAGGGGTGAGAGCCTCACTGCCAGTGTGCCCTGGCTCCTGGGGATGCGGCTGCCACCCCCAACATCCCCCAGGGGAGAGGGGAGCAAAGCCTCACCAGGGTCCCCAGCCTGGAGGTCGTGTGGGCATGACCAGCCCTGAGCCAGCATCTTGCCTGGTGCCAGGTGGCTGGACCCCTCAGGTCAGCCTGGGCCACCAGCCCACCCTGGGGAGCCACTGCTGGTGCTGGGGCCAGAAGACGCTGGGGCAGGAAGCCAGTTTCAGCTTCGGCTTCCCTTGTGGAGGTCTGGCTGGGCACAGGTCTGCCCGTTTATTTTTTTCTCTGTCTCTTTTTTTCCCCCACCTCTGACCAGGGCTGGAACAGTAGCTCTTTCTCTGCTTCCGCAGGCCCTTCCTGACCCTGCTCTGCCTGTGGGCAGGGGGTGGCAAGCCAGGAGGGGCCTGGCCCTTCTGCCAAGACTCTCAGAGACGTGGGTGCTGTGGCTGTCTCCTTTCCTAGGGTGCCCCAGGCTCAGTGCCCAGCCTTGTCAGGTATGTCCAGGGTCCGAAGAGGGCTCTAGAGCCTGCCCTGCTTGCCACCACTCAGGGTCCCCCTGTCCCTCCTCCAGGCCCTGGCTGGCCCCACCTGCCCCAGGACAAAGGCGGCCACTTTAAATTCCCTGGACGGCCCTGAGAATGCTCCTTGTCTCCCCCAACAAAGAGGTCAGTGTCTTGATGCTGTGATGGCATTGGAAACCCTATCTGTGCTGCATCCGCTCTGACACCCTCATCTGAGGCTGTTCCCACGCCTCGCTGGGCAGCTCTGAAGCAGCTCTGGGGGGGGGGGCGGGGGGCGTTCTAAGGTGGGGTGGCCTAGCCCAGGGCCGGCCCTGCAGAAGCCCCTCGGGGCTGCCTGGCTGCCCCCAGGCCAGTGCAGGCCAGCAGCAGATTCACCGAAGGGCAGGAGCTGAGGCTGAGGCTGGTGAGGTCCCAGCACGTCTGTCCTCCAGCCCATCCCAACAAGTCCCCACATCTCCCTCACCTTACCAGAGGCAATGGCTGGTCCTCAGAACCCGTCTCCCCCTACCATGAAAGGCGCACATTTCCCTGGTGAGGGGCCTGAGGCCCGCAGGATGACAAGCCCGGTCTGTGAGACCCCTGCTGCATCGCTGCTGTCACTTCATCCATTCACTCATTCATTCATTCATTCATTCACTCTCTTATCCACCAGGCAGGCCGTGAGACCCCTGCTGCATCGCTGCTGTCACTTCATCCATCCATTCATTCATTCATTCACTCCCTTATCCACCAGGCAGGCCATGAGACCCCTGCTGCATCACTGCTGTCACTTCATCCATTCACTCATTCATTCACTCCCTTATCCACCAGGCAGGCTGTGAGACCCCTGCTGCATCACTGCTGTCACTTCATCCATTCACTCATTCATTCATTCATTCACTCCCTCATCCACCAGGCAGGCCGTGAGACCCCTGCTGCATCACTGCTGTCACTTCATCCATTCACTCATTCATTCATTCACTCCCTTATCCACCAGGCAGGCCGTGAGACCCCTGCTGCATCGCTGCAGTCACTTGAACCACCCAGTCACTCACTCACTCACTCACTCACTCACTCACTCACTCCCCGCCCTTCCTCCCTTATATGGCAAGCAGACCATGAGATTCCCACTTGGTCACTCTGGTCACTTCCTCCACGCACTCACTCACTCACTCAGTCCTTCCCTCCCTCCCTCCCTCCCTCCCTTATCTCCGCCCACTGCACTGCTGCTGTCACTTCATTCACTCAGTTACTCAGTCACTCGGTCACTCGCTCCCTCCCTCCGTCCCTCGTGCAGCAGCTGTTACCAGGTGTGGGAAACACAGTGACCAGAACTAATCTCA